AAAAATACATAAAGAACATGTTCCTATTCGTCCAGTTGTCTCATATATTGGTGCACCAGCTTATTTCCTTGCTAAAAAATTAAACTTCCTCCTTCGAGAGAAATCTGGATTCAACCCCACTTACAGCCTAAAAAATGGCTTAGATCTCATTTCCAAAATTAAAGATATTCGTATTCCTCCTAAATCCATATTGTTATCTTTAGACGTTGATAGTCTTTTCACAAATGTCCCATCCCCTGACTGTTTGCGTATACTCGCAGATCTCTTTGAAAAACGTCGTCTACATCCCGGGGAAACAAATGATCTTCTTAACTTAACCTCTCTCTGTATGAAACAAAACTATTTCCGGTTTAATAACCGTTTCTATCTACAAAAAGAAGGGTTAGCTATGGGGTCCCCTCTAAGTCCCCTTATGGCGGACATTTTCATGGATAATTTCGAAAAACAACATATAGTTGTCAATCAAAATATCTTATATTACTATCGATATGTAGACGACATAATTATTTGCTGGACTGGCACAAGGAGACAACTGGATGTTTTCCTCAATAAAATAAATAGAGTCCATGACAAAATTAAATTTAAACTTGAATTGGAACAAGATGGTTGCCTTAATTTTCTTGACTTAACAATAACAAGAAAAGAATCGTCACATGTTTTCCAAATTTATCGAAAGCCAACTCACACCGCCACGGTCATCCCCGCGTCATCATGTCATCCATGGCAACATAAAGTAGCCGCTTTTTATTGTTACATTAACCGTTTGTTCACTGTCCCATTAAGTAAAGAAAATGATTTAAAGAACTTAATATAATTTATCAAATAGCGGTCTCTAACGGTTTTTCAAAAAATCTCATTAAAAATTTAATTAAAAAGAAACAAAAGCATGTTATTCGCAACTCTCTGTACGCGGTTCAACCTCAAAGTATTCGTCGATATGTGAGCAGTTTGACCTACTTATGTCCCATATCTGAAAAAGTAGCTAATACTCTTCGAAAAAACGGCGTTCATGTGGCGTTCAAAACAAACAATTCTCTTAGAAATATATGTAATAGTAAAGATAAGTTGGATATTCGTCAAAAGTCAGGTGTTTACAAAATTGTTTGTGACGAATGCCACGCCGTTTACGTGGGTCAGACTGGTCGCAATTTCGAGACACGTTATAAAGAGCATTTAGCCGCGTACAGGAATTGCAATCCCGATAAATCCCATTTTGCCAAACATCTTTTGGACACTGGACACAACCTAGCCAACGACCACTCCTTTAAAGTCTTACATACGTGTAATAAAGGGCTGCGGCTGTGTGTGCTGGAACAGTTAGAGATATTAAAAAATAATAATAATACCGTTGCATTGCTGAATGAACAAACAAATGTTACTAACTCACCTCTCTTAAATATCTTCAAGCCTGCTCTCTAATAGTGTGGGCGTTGCGCGGCGGTTTGTTTTTTAAATTTACAAACGGCTGCGTAAGTCCAGCGGTGATTGGTCGCATGTTTTATCGCATGACACAGTCGCTCTCTCCTTAGGTAGAGAGCGGTTGCATCATCGATTTGTATAAAAGGCACTTGTTTTGGCTCGCCGCTCACTTAGCGGTTAGCCACCGTAGAGTCTATATCACCTGAGGATGCCTCGTGTAGAGGCGAAACACGTGTCGTATTATCGTCAGTGGTGTGTCTTGCCTAGTGTAGTGGTGTTGGGAGTAGCGGTGCTGGGATTAGTGGTGACGGGGATAGTGCACGCAATTGAGCGAGGGCGGGAGGTGCTTCTTCATACTAGGTAAGACACATCATTTTATTTTATAACGCGGATATTTGCGAAGTAAATTTTTGTAAAAGCTTTTAAATTTATATGTTTTTATCGATCGACCACTATACCTCGGTTTAGGTAAGTATCGATTTTCTCTAATTCCGCGTGTTTTATTTTACAGATTTGAGTGCAGATGGCAGTTTCTACACGGCGCGGACCTAACTGAAGCAAAAAGAACGAAATAAATGAAGATTTGTAAAATTTTTAAATTTTTATGAATTTACGACTCTAAGAAAACTAATTTTATGGAAATTTGTTATTAAACTGTGAAAATTGTAGTGTTATGCTACTTACTTATCATTTTACATTATTTTAAATTCATTTTTCTATTCTGTTTCGATTTTCTGCATTCACTTCAAAACTGGATATTTTACATCACCTTTATTTCCATAGGATCCTGTAACGATTTTAAACCATAAGTACACAATGACAAATCATTTCTACTTCGTATTTTCACATTATCAGCACTTTTAAATTGGTGTCAATGGAGTCTACCTTTTTTTCGATCTTTTAGTTAGTTTTCCGTAACTCTACAATCTCGGGCTTTGTGTGGGCAGTTGCGCTACCTTTTTTCCTATATCAATAATATCTCATTTTCCACTTAAATCTTGCCGTTTTCTTATTACAAGCCTAAAACCAAAATTTGACATGTTTTGACATTGTTGTTTATTTGGTCTCCATAGCAATTATATTCAAATTTACTACCGGTCTGTTGTTTCTATTTCGATAATTCCACATAAATACTCTTTTCTCTTGACCATTTACAAAAAATTTGCGTTTAATTTAAATAATTTTTCCGTTCTCTCTAGAAAGATATAAAAGCCGAACAATCGGTGAAGAAATTCAGTCTTGCTTCAGTTCTCGAATTGGAAGCATCTTCTAAAGGCCTTATCCCGGGGCCGCACTGCCCCGGGATCCTGCAAGCCTCTGTCCTGCCAGAAGCCACTGGACTATACGAACCTCTGCTCTACCTGAAGTCGCTGGACTCTACAAACCGTTGCTCTGCCTGAAGTCGCCGGGATCCTACAACTCACTGCTCTACCTGGAGTCGCCGGAACCTGCAAACCTCTGTTCCGCCTGAAGTCACCGGAACCTGCAAACCTCTGTCCCGCCTGCAGTCACCGGTTCCTGCAGGCTTCTGTGTTGTCTGAAGCCGCTGAGGATCCTGCAATCTGTCCTGAAATCGCCGGATCCTGCAATTACCACATTCACCGGAGGTCGTCGCCTAGAGACGCCCACGCCTTCTCACCTACGCCGTGCGTGCTCGTTCCAGGCGCTGAGAGCACACCTTGGATCTTCAGACTCAGCTTCGGCACTAAACTCTTTTTTTTATTATTTTTTTTAAATAATCTGTAAATCGCATCATCCATCCTCATATTCATACTCCATTTTTGTAATATAAAATTATAAATATTTTTGAATCTTAAATATATTTTTTGCTTTTGTTGTATTTTTTGTTGTTTTGTTGTTCTTAGGTTAGATTCTTTTTGTTCTTTATTGTCGCTTCACGACATTTGGCGCCCAACGTAAAAGTTCTCTTTCTCTTCTCTTCACCTTTACTGCGCCTTGTCCATTCCTTTTGATTTAATTGCTTCCTCTTTCGTTCTTAACTCTTTATTTATTCATCCTTTTCATACCTTCCAAATTCTAAAACAACACTTCATCTAGTGTTTCAACTTATCTGGATTATATTTAGACCTACATTTAACACTTCACTTACATTCATCACTTTAATATTTTTATTCTAGATAATCTTCCAAATTCTAAAACAACACTTCATCTAGTGTTTCAACTTATCTGGATCTTCTACTGTAAATGGAGTATCTGGTGGAGTGTCGGATATTTTGTTAAACTGTTTACGGAGCTGAATGTGCTTTAAGCATGTATCAGGTCCATCGTCAGGAAAATATTCATTTAAAAACGTTTCAGCAGTTTCGTACGTAGTTTTTGTGTATTTACCCGCTTTGGTTTTAAGAGTTGTGTTGTGCTGCGTCATAGGTGTGGTCTTGAGTAACCGATTAGTTACACTCCATACATCCTCCTTTCCCTGCTTATCGCAGAACTCCCTAAAGTGCTCAGTTGAAGCAACCCTAATTGCTTGTGAATATTCAGTTCTCAGGTTTTCTTTTTCTAGCAACAAATCGGTTAAAGACTTTTTACGGCGTTTTGTTTGTTGAATTTCGTGGTGATTTTTTATTACTTTTTGCTTCAGTTTTTCTAATTTATCGTTCCACCAGGGCGCTCGAATTGCTACTTTAGTTGATTTTCTCAGAAAGAGTATATCACTAACCTTTTGTAATGCTGCTACTAATTTTGTAATATAATTATCTAATTGTGTGGCGCTTAAATTATCTATGATAATATCGGTGTCAAAATTTTTAGCTATCTCGCTTTTAAACTGCTCTGTTATCTCATCCCATTTTATATTCTGAGTATTGTATTTAAATGTTGACAGTTTTTTGGATTTGTTTAACATGTTTTTATTTACAGACAAATCAAAAGTGATACCATTATGATTGGATGATGGGACAGCGTCTAGCACGACTTTCCAGTTGGAGATTTTATTCGGTGTTGAATTGGATGTTAGTGTGAGATCAATTATGGATTCGCGATGGATTTTGTGTGTTACCGTTTCATATGTAGGGACGTTGCCTGAATTACACAGAATAAGATTATTAGTAGTTATAAGATCTACAATCATATTTCCGCGTCGGTTTGATCTAATCGAGTTCCACATGGGATGCCATCCGTTAAAATCACCACAAATGATGTGGGTGTGATTTGAGTTTTTCTGTAGGAATATTTCTAGACTGTTCATTGTATTAATTTCATCCTTCTTGGGTTCAATATATACACTAATTAGAAATAGTTTTTTACCGCCAATGTTTATTTGAACAATACAAAGGTTGGAAGTGGAATACTCCGAAATTCCCAAAGTACAACCTATAGTCTGCCTTACAAGTAAGCATGCTTTTACTCGGTGCAATGTGGGGTATTGATATATATTATAATTAGGGATAGATTTCATTGCGTTATCCTTTCCTACGTAGGGTTCACTGTTAAATACTATGTCAAATTTGTTGTCATTTATGTATTTAATCATTTCATGCATCGCTGCGTAACCTTTGTCGGTGTTAATTTGTAAGCATTTTAATGGGCGATGATTTTTTGTATTTGTATTATTTCTATTATCAGTACCCATAATCGGTTCTGGTTTTGCAAATTTCTATTTGTTTTTGTAGACGTGGACAACGTAGCGATGTAGCACTGTGTTTAGTGTTAATATTCAAGTTATATTTTTTACAATGTGAGGAACAGTTATAGCAGTCAACTTTGGTGTAATCTTTTTTGACAGGGCAATCTTTATACGAGTGTTCTGATGATGAGCAGTGGGAGCAGATTGTTGTTTCTTCAGTGCAGTATTTCTTCGTATGACCGAACTGCATACACTTATAGCACTGAAGATAAGCTGGGTAGTCTTCAGTATGTACTCTTTGATGGTCTACGTTTATTTTTTGAAGTTCCACAATTGATCTCCAGATTGTGGGAGTAACCATAAACACAGCGTTATACAAATTTTTGTTTTTATTGTTTCGCATAAAACGGTAGGTAATATCGTCGGGGGATTTAATGAGACTTTTTATATTTGGATTTTGATTCACAATGATTTCTTTAAGCTCACTCACAGGTGTGTCTTTGTAGATGCCTTTAAGAATTACCAAAGGCTTACGCTTCTTGGCTACGTCAGCATTAACAAGGCTGTCAGGTTGGTTTATGGCGTTAAGGATCTCGTCACGTTGTTCTTGGTTATCAAACTCTACCCTAATTTTGTGGTTGGAGACTGTCTTAACTTCAGAAGGGTTAAAGGTGTGTTTTTTAAAATGAATGCTTTTCCGCCACGCACTTACAGTTTCTTTTGTACAAGAGACTGGCTGCTTAAAGCTAACTATGATAGCTGGCTTTGTAACCGGGATAGTTTGTTTCTCAGCAGTTTTAGTAGATTTGACCACTTTGGCGTAGGATGGTAGTGGCGATGGAGTGATAGAAGGGTTAACAATTAGTTGTTGCAGTGGCTGGGTGGTAATTTTTTGTGGTTGGACCGCTAGCTTAGAGAGCTTTTCCCTAATGGTGTTCTTGATTAATGAAACTGTTTTATTTTCGGTTGATGAAATTGAATGACGTAATATCGTTTTTACTTGATCGTACAACTGTTGTGTACTTCGTTTGATTTCGTCTAGAGATTTTTTAATGTTATCTTTGTTAAGACGAGTAACGCTCATATTACCGTCTAAATTTTGGAGAATCAAATTTGTGTGTTCACTAACTTTTAAGAAATACTCGTCGTTAAAAGTTGTAGTAGAGTCGGATAGTGCCTCTTCGAATTCGTCGCCTGTTATGTATGTTGGATCTTCAGCTGGAGTCGACTGTTGACCCAAATCGAGGCTACTAAGAGCCTCGGAAGAAGTATTGTGTAGACTTGACATTTATAATATATAAGTTTACTTAAGTAATGAAAACAGGGAGGGTTGGAGGGCGATTTTCTCTAATTTCGCGTGTTATTTTTTACAGATTAGAGTGCAGATGGCGGTTTCTTCACTGGACGGACCTAATTGAAGCAAAAAGAGCGAAAGAAATGAAGATTTGTAAAATTTTAAAAATTGTATGAATTTACGACTCTAAGAAAACAAATTTTATGAAAATTTCTTATTAAACTGTGAAAATTTTAGGAAAAAACTACAGGGAATTACGGGGGGCAGTTAATTACACTATATAAAAAGAAAATATGAACAAAAAAAGAGCGATTTTCAGCAAAGTTAGAGAGGAATTTATGTTTTAATTATGAATTTACAACTATATTAGAATAAAAAATACAAAATTTAATTATTTAATGGTAAATATTTACTAAGAAAACTACTAAGATATATGGGGGCTAATTGATTACACTATTAAGAGAAGATTTGAATTAAAAAGACCGATTTTCAGGAAAGTTATTAACGAATTGGTAGTTGAATTCGGTTAGGTTAGGTTAGGTTAGGTTCCCCCCCGAACGGGTTCCCGCCTTGTCGTGGCGGGGGGGCTTATTAGCCGTGGCTTGGTCACCCACGGTGAACAAAGAGGAACCCCTTGGCTGGCCCGTGGTGTAGGGCCGGCCCGAGGTGGCCACTCCGAGTGGGCTTGGGAAGCCCACTTCGGATGTGTGTCGGTGGACTGCGGTGAGAGGGGTGTCCGCTCCCCCTACCGCTGCAGCCGAGGTGGAGTCGCGGAGGAAGAGGGGTGTTGGTATGGCGATGCGCCACTCGCCCTATCCTCCGCGACTCAGACGGGGCCGCACCGTTAAATGATGCGGTGGTGGTGGGGCTGCGGGGGGAGAGGAGTGTCGGTATTGCGAGGCGCCGCTCTCCCTACCCTCCGCAGCCGAATCTTGGTTGGCGGCGGAGCCATAGACCAGATCCGCCGCTGGGGTCAGGAAGGCTGGTGCTTCTGAGTGCTAGTTTTTCCTGGCCCCATGGCCTTCGCGCATCGGACACGGGGGCGTCCGTTGCGCATATGAAATTGGAGGCCGAGGAGGAGGGCGCGCCATGTGTTCTGGTGCGCCTTACCGGAGAAGGAGATGGGGGAGGAGTGGTCCTCTCCCGAGGAGGGGCCGCCATGGGGTGGCCAGCGCAGGTGGGGCCGCGGAAGTGTGCGAAAGCGTTCCCGTGGCCCTGCCAAAATGCGACGAGGGTGGAACACCATGGGGTTTTAGTCGGTGCGAGTCCGACATAACCCGTCCTTGCCCCCGCGAGGCGGGTATGCGTAGGCATTTACCCATGTAAAAAAAAAAAAAAAAGGTTAGGTTAGGTTAGGTTCGTTATTGTAGGGGCGTATTTCTCCCCCAACAAGAGTCTCGCCGACTTTGAGGGTTTCCTTGTCGAGTTGGGCGCCGTCGTAGGCCGTTATCACCCTCGTCCCGTTCTGGTGCTCGGGGATCTCAACGCCAAATCATCGGCGTGGGGATCTCCGGTCACTGACCCTCGGGGCGAGGTGCTAGAAGAGTGGACGGTGACGACTGGTCTGGTCGTCCTGAATCGGGGTTCGGAATACACGTGCGTGCGGCAGCGGGGTGGGTCGATAGTGGACGTCTCGTTTGCTAGCCCCTCTGTCGCCAGCCGAGTCCGCGACTGGCGTGTCGCCGCAGAGGTGGAGACGCTGTCGGACCATCGATATATCCGGTTCGACGTCTCTGCCCAGACCGCGAGCGGCCGCCATCCAACAACCCCGATTAACGACGGCCCGCGTTGGGCGCTTAAGCGCATCGACAGGGAACTACTCGAGGAAGCTGCCCTAGTTCAGTCCTGGATCTGGGAGTCGACGACGGACGGCCCCGTCGACGTCGAAGCGGTGGCGTTATGGTTTCGCGGGGCGATGACGCAGATCTGCGACGCGTCAATGCCCCGTGTCCGCCAACGGTCCGCAAAGCGCCAGGTGTACTGGTGGACCGCCGAGATCGCGCAATTGCGCATAGCGTGCGTTGCGGCTCGTCGCCGGTACACCCGATACCGGAGGCGGCGTCGACGGGATTCCGCCGAGGAGGACGCGCTGTATGAGGTGTACCGCGCGTCTAAGGAGACTCTGTGGCTGGCCATCGGCGACTCAAAGTCGCGTGCCAGGGAGGAGCTGCTGGGGTCCCTAGATCGGGATCCGTGGGGGCGCCCCTACCGTTGGATTCGGGGCAAGTTGCGTCCCTGGGCGCCTCCACTAACACAAAGGATGCAACCCCAGTTGCTAGAGTCGGTGTTATCGACTCTCTTCCCTGAGCGAGTGGGACACGTTCCCCCGGCGATGGCTTCGCCCTCAGCCACAGACTCTCCAGAAGAGGAGAGCACCGATGTCCCCGAGGTGACGCAAGCAGAGACGAGAGTGGCTGTGTCGCGACTCCGGGCTAAGAAAACAGCGCCCGGACCCGACGGAGTTCCTGGTCGAGCTCTCGTCCTGGCTCTGAAGGAGCTAGAGCCCCAGCTGAGAGGGCTCTTCACGGCATGTCTCGAGCAGGGTCAGTTTCCCAGTGTGTGGAAGGAGGGGAGGCTGGTCCTGCTCAGGAAGGAGGGGCGCCCCGCGGACTCACCGTCCGCGTACCGGCCTATAGTGCTGCTCGACGAGGCGGGCAAACTTTTTGAGCGTATCATCGCAGATCGCCTCGTCAGCCACTTGTGCAGAGAGGGGCCGGACCTGGATGACAACCAGTACGGTTTTCGTCGCGGGCGCTCCACCATAGACGCTATTACGCGCGTGAGGGCCCTGGCGGAGGAGACAGTATCCCGGGGTGGGGTGGTGCTGGCGGTGTCCTTAGACATCTCCAACGCTTTCAACACCCTACCCTGGAGTTGCATTTGGGAGGCGCTGAATTACCATCGCGTGCCTCCCTACCTCCGCCGCACAATAGGGGCTTACCTTGAGGAGAGATGCGTTACCTATTGGGGACGTGACGGCGCTGGTCGGCGCGTCATGTCGTGCGGTGTTCCGCAGGGATCGGTCTTGGGACCGTTCCTGTGGAACATCGGCTACGACTGGGTGCTGAGAGGTGAACTCCCGTCGGGCGCCGACTTGACGTGTTATGCGGACGACACGCTCGTCACTGCCCGGGGGAGTTCGTACAGGGAAGCAGCGTTGGTTGCCACGGCTGCGGTGTCACAAGTGGTGAACCGCATCCGGCGCCTGGGCCTGGAGGTAGCCCTAAGTAAGTCGGAGGCCATGGTGTTCCATGGCCCTCGACGCGCGCCGCCGCCGGGTTCACACATCGTGGTCAGCGGGGCCCGGATAGCTGTCGAGTCCACCATGAAGTATCTGGGATTGGTGCTCGACAGCCGATGGGAATTCGGACCCCACTTCCGGCGGCTGGCGCCCAAGCTGATGGGTGCAGCGGGCGCGCTATCAACGTTGCTTCCTAACTTGGGGGGCCCGAGCGCCGCCTGTAGGCGGTTGTACGTAGGAATAGTGCGGTCCATGGCGCTGTATGGGGCCCCTGTGTGGGCGATGGACATGACGGCCAGCACTCTCGCCATTCTGCGTAAACCGCAGAGGGCGATGGCCGTCAGAGTCGTCCGCGGGTATCGCACGATTTCCTACGAGGCGGCTTGCGTCCTGGCCGGATCCCCGCCCTGGGACCTAGAGGCGAAAGTACTCGCGTCATTATATCGATGGCGCGAGGAAGAGCGGGCACGGGGCTCGAGGCCGGTGCAGCGGCAGATCGCGCTGCGCCGAGAGGAGCTCCGTCAGGCCTTGGTGGCGGAATGGCGGCAAAGGCTTCTGCGCCCTACCGCCGGCCTCGCTACCGTCGAGGCGATCCGGCCAGTACTCGACGACTGGCTCGGGAGAAGGCACGGCTCCCTGTCGTTTAGGGTGACGCAAGTGCTGTCGGGGCATGGCTGCTTCGGCAAGTACCTGCGCCGCATAGACAGGGAGCCGGACGCTCGGTGCCACCACTGCGTCCATTGCGGGGAGGACACGGCGCAACACACGCTCGCCGAGTGTGTAGCTTGGGAGGAGCAGCGCCGTGTCCTCACAAATAAAGTAGGAGGCGATCTGTCGCTGCCGGCCTTAGTGCGGAAGATGGTCGGTAGCGCAGAGTCGTGGGATGCGGTGGTGTCCTTCTGCGAGGACGTGATGTCGCAGAAGGAAACTGCGGAACGGGAAAGGGAGATCTCGACTCCCTTCCCTGGCCGCAGAAGGCGCACCGGGCGCAGGAGAAGGGCGGACAACGCCCTTTTCCGGCCCCCATAAATGGGTCCAGGGGCGAGGGACTTGGGGAAGCCCCCCGCCACCCCTACTCGATGGACCCGAGACGGATGCGCGCGCGGGTGTCGGCGCGCGCCCCTGAGGCGATACACGGGGTAGTTGAACACCTCACTACCCCGTGCAGGAGACGAGGCCTGGACAGACCGGGCCAGCACTAGTGTGGGGCTGCGGAAGAATTTGGATTCCCGCGGCCCCATGCGCACGTGTGAGGAGACACCGGGGTGGTTTTAGCCGGTAAGAGTCCGGCACGTCCCTCCGCCTTTCCCCAGGCGGAGGTAGTCCATGAGGATTTCCCCCCGTAAAAAAAAAAAAAAAAAAAGGTTAGGTTAGGTTAGGTTAGGTTAGGTTAGGTTAGGTTCCCGTGTGGAGTTGCCAGAACTCCCATCGGGCGCGTCCCCAGGTGGCGGATAGGGGAACGCCACTCAGATATGAGTGGTAGCGGGAAACCGTCGCGGACCAAAACTGGCTGGCTGAGGGCTTGTTTGGGTAATGGAGGGCCTTCTAGTTGCTTCCTGTATCCTCTCCGTTGAGAGGAACAGAGAATGTGACATGCGCGGTGAGGTGCCAGGTGCACTCGGCTTTTGCCGACGCCGGGCAACCCGTAATTGCGGGATTTTCAGGGACCACACCCTGTAAAAAAAAAGGAAACTGAATGGGCTCAGTGTTCCCTCACCCGGTCTCTGAGCAGGCATGGGAAGAACCCATATCG